TCAGGTGGGAAGTTACCGTTATAGGAGCCTTATAGAAAGTCTATTTACCTTATGGAAGCCTGCTAGAAGCCCTATATATCCTAAACTCCCACCTGTAGTTTCCTTTAATAGAGGACAGGGTTCAGGGTTCAGGGTTTACGGAGGTTTAAGGGTTCATGGGTTTGGGGTTTTGAGCTCTGGGGGTGTGGGGGTTTAGGGTTTTTTTCTGGTTTCGGGTTTGGTAGGGTTTGGGGTTTCGGGTTTAGGGCTTTGTGGCATTCTGCTTGAAGGAAACTTAGCCTACACCCTACTTATGAACTCATATAGTGTGCTGAATGATTACCGATGCTATTCCGCATGGCTTCCTACTATTCTAGCTATATTCTAACTCGGAAGCTCCCAATGTTTACATATGTCCTACGTGCTATATGGAGTTTAGGACTAGGAGCATCCTATGAGCAGCGCTTTGGGGAGCACTGCGTAATTTACGCTGGCTTAACTTTCGCTTGCAGCCGTACTATGCCCCATATAACTGTACATGACTCAGGCCCTAAAGCCTTAAAACTTTAATAACAAAACACCTAAACCCTCACCCCCAAACCCTAAACCCTAACCCTAAACCCTACTTTCGCTACAAATCTTCTATTTTGTTCGGTTGTAAGGTTTATATAAAGAATTCATAATACGTAACCGTAAAAAAGTAGACTTTCTCAGTGTAAAACAAACCCTACTCGGAGGTTTAATCACTCAGTCCCATGATCCTTTGAGCAGGCCCTAAACTCCAAGCCCTTATAGGGAACTATAAAATAGATCCCTGTAGTACCCGTAAAACGGAACCCTAAACCCTAGTTACTAAGTCCCTAGTTACTAAGTCCCATGATCTTCTAAGTACCCATACATTCCAATATCTCTGAATCAAGGAATATACCTTAAGATATAGTAGGATCCCTAGTTGGATTTAAGGTGTATCCTTACTTAAGGGATTTTGGAAGATCCTGGTAAAATAGAACCCTACAGTACCCGTTTTAAAAGGGACTATGCAAAGCCTCGCTCACCCTAAACCCCAGACCCTAAACCCTAAACCCTAGACCCTAAACCCTAAACCCTAAACCCTATACCCTAAACCGTCCATCGGCGGCTCTTGGCCTCCAACCGTCGCCTGGAAAAAGATAGACGGTTTAAGGTTTAGGGTTTAGGGTTTTAGGGTTTAGGGTTTAGGGTTTTAGGGTTTTAGGGTTTAGGGTTTAGGGTTTAGGGTTTTAGGGTTTACGGTTTAGGGTGTAGGGGCTTCCAAGCCGCAGAGCACAGGCATTGCTGCGAGAACAACAAGAATGTTTCCTTGGCCTCCAGCGCTCGGAGCCAAAGCAACTGCGTTTTTGGGGTTTAGGGTTTAGGGTTTAGGGTTTCGGTCGCCACAAGCTGTGGCGGCCTCAGACACCAAATGTATGTCTACGCATTGGGAGGTAACTTGCCCTACTAAATTCTAAGTCCGTACCTTAAAACCCTAAGCCCTGCGAGCCCTAGATTCTAATTCCTAACTCTTGCAGAAACCTTTACCCTAAACCCCCTGAGCCCTAAATCCTAGCCCTAAACACCAACTCCTAGCCCCTAATCCAGAACCCTCAGCTCTAATATAGGGGCCGTAATAATTACCTAGGGGTTCCTCATTATAAGGCCCATATAAATATAAATATAATATATATATATATATATATATAGCACCCTAAACCCTAAACCCTAACCCTACATTAAGAAAGAACCCCAAACCTACTTGTTTGTAGGGTCCCTATAAATCCCATTTTATGGTTTAGAATATGAACCTACCCTAAACCCTAAACCCTAAACCCTAAACCCTAAACATCCCTAAACCCTAAACCCTAAACCCTAACCCTAAACCCTCAACTCTACCAGGAGGCCGTGGCCGGCGATCTGCGGGAGGTGGCGGCAGCAGCTCCTTCGGCTCAGGTTTTAAGGTTTTAGGGCTTAGGCTTTAGGGTTTAGGATTTAGGGTTTAGGGCTTTGGGTTTAGGAGTTTAGGGGTCTTAGGTTTTAGGGTTTCGGGGCTGGTTTTAGGTTTTAGGGTTTAGGGTTTAGGGTCTAGGGGTCTTATTTTTAGGATTTAGGGGTCTTGGGGTTTTAGGGTTTAGGGTCTTCGGATTTAGGGGTCTTAGTAGGGTTTTAGGGTTTAGGGTTTAGGGTATAGGAGTCTTAATTCTAGGGTTTAGGTGTCTTAGGGTGTTAGGGTTCAGGCCTCTTAGTAGCTTTTAGGGGTTTAGGGGTCTTATTAGCAGGGTTTTAGGGTTTAGGGGTCTTACGGTTTCAGGGTTTTGGGCTTTAGGGTTTAGGGGTCTTAGCAGGGCTTTAGGATTTAAGGGGTCTTGATGGTCTTAGGGGTAAGCGTTTTATGGTTTAGGGGTCTTAGTAGGATTTTAGGTTTTAGGGTTTAGGGGTTTAGGCAGACCAAGCCAGTAAACCTATCTCGTAATAGAATAGTTGCAGGATCATGGGACGCAGTAGCAAAGATAAGGTTATACCGCCAAAGTGGGTTACCTTTAGCCTTTCTGGGGTACTATGTTCCCTCTATAACCGCAGGGTTAACCTTGTGTTCTTTCAGGATACTGGACAAGAGAGGAGATGGGACTCTACAAAAAGGCTTTGGGTTGAGGGGTCTTGGGGTTTACCTTGACCCCAAAGGTCCTACCTTATTTAAGGACTTATGGGTTTAGGGTTTAGGGTTTAGGGTTTAGGGTTTAGGGTTTAGGGTTTAGGGTTAATCAGGAACCGAAAAAATGTAGGTTTTCTAGGCTTACGGTAGCGGTGACGGTTCAGGGTTTTTTGTGGGTGGAGGAGCCTTTGGCTTCACCCTAAACCCGGTTGAAGGCGTTTTAGGGTTCAGGGTTTAGGGTTTAGGTGTTCTAGGGGTTCGCCAGGGCTTCTATAGGAATACACCTCAAGTGCAAGACTCTGCAGTCTCCGCGTATGGGTTTAGGGCTCAGGGGCTGAAATTTCTTGGAGCATTCCGAAAACCGCAAGGTTTAGGGTTTTGGGTTTTGGGTTTAGGGTTTGGGGTTTAGGGTCTGGGATTTTGGGTTTAGGGTTTACGTCAGGCTCGGAAACTCCTGAAACGCTCTCGAGACTTTCGATCCTCGCAGAAACGGAGCTCGGACCAAGAACCAGCGCTGCAATCGAGGAACTGAGCCCCCAAAAATCCCAAACCCGAAGCCTTCCTAGAGCCCCTGAGACACCTCTAGAACCCTAAACCCTAAACCC